ACTATTACCATTTTTACTCTTTGCTCTTTACTGATTGCTATTACTCTTTCTCGATTACTCTTTACTCTTTACTTACTACTATTACCCTTTTACTGATTACTCTTTACCATTTCTTGATTACTCTTTACTCTTTACTGATTACTATTACTCTTTTACTGATTACTATTACCATTTTACTGATTACTCTTTACTTCTTTGAATTTTAATCACTTTGAATTACCATTACCGTTTTACTGATTACTCTTTTATTCTTTACTGATTACTCTTTACTTAATTATTACTTATCATTTTCATTTTTTGAACCCTTTTTTTTCTGACTGACATCACTTTCTTCTTTTCTTCTTCCTCTCTATTTCTTTAATTTTCCTTTATTGATTCCATTTTTATTGATGCTCTAGACTCTTAAATGCATGGATGCACATAATATATGAAATTCCATTTTTGGGATTTATTACCGAATGGTTATACGAGGAATACCATCTGGGCACCCGCCACTCATACTGGCTAAGACCCCCTTTCGGATATTCCAAGCCTAGAAAGGATGAATTAAGACCGACAAAGATTGTCTAAGTCCCAATTAATCGTTCCATCATCGGATCAGTTTAAAATAATCTCAAGTAATGATGGTAAATGCAAATGATGCATGAAATTTCAATTTTGCTTGATTTACCAGGTGATTATATGAGAAATCCATCCAGAACCAAACCCACACACTGGGAAGTGTCCTTCCGGAAGTTTCAAGCCCGAAGGAATCAATTTTATATAATCTCGAATGAACATGATAAATTGCAACAATTTATGAACATAAACGTGAATGCAATGCAAATGCTTAAATTAATTTAACCTTAGATTAAAGCTTAATATCCTAAAACCTAAATTCAATTTAACCAAATTATTGACAATTAAATCTAAATCTAAATCTAAATCCTAAATTAATAATAATGAAACTACTTTAAATTAAACTTATAATATATAAAAAATTAAAACTAGACTAAGTCTCACAAAGGCCCATTGCATAAAACAAATTAAAAGCCCACGCCGAAGGCCCAAGGCATTAAAAATCAGAAGTTACCCAAAAGCAGAAATGGGCCGGATGGGTCACTGAGATGGATCTGGGTCGGGTCTTGCGGGTTGCTATAAAAGCTTCCTTTTCTCTTTTACCTTCAAACTTATCTTCCTCACATAAACCCTAGCCGCAACCTTCCCAAATCGGAAATCATCATCACCTTCGATGCCGCCGCCGCCGCCGTGTCGATGTACCTTTCCGACGCCAATCACCACCAGATTTCATCCAGAGCTTCCTTCCGAGCTCCCTTACCCGATTCTAGCCTCAGATTTCCCAAACGAAGCCCCAAAATGAACCAAGAACATTCTACCGGAATCTAAATGGCCTTAACTCCGGCGACACCCACTATTTACTCCTAAAGCTTTCACTTCTCTAAGCTCTCAACAAAAATGACTCAAAAATGGAAACCTTTAAAAGAAACTAACTTAAAAACACCTTAAACTCTACTGGATAAAGTAAGACAGAGCAGGAAACCCACTAGAACAACTACCTAAAGCCACTCCTTCATCTTGAGATCAGAGGGGCTTCAAGACAGGTGCCTCTCTTCCCTAATCTTCTTGCTTTCTCCTTTCGTAATTTTATTGTCTAAAAAAAAACTCTAAGAACCCTAGATTTCTAGAAAATTCTGCCCCCTCCCCCTGTTCTATCTAATCGTTGTTTAGTTCTTTGAATCTAAGCCTCCAAACTACAAAAAACTCCTTCCAACCCCCTGACTCCGACTTATCCAAACCCTCTCTTCCTCTCCTTTGGAATCCCAACTTAATTTGATCAACTTCAACCTAGAATAGAAACCCCCAAGTTTATTTGTAAATCCCACCACTCTTGACTTTTCTGTTGTGATTTTTTCTCTTATCTTTTCTTTTTTTTTTCTCTCTTTTTTCTGTATTTTCTTTGTATTTTATTCCAAGAACCTATGAACTACTATGAACCCTCATTTTTGCTCCCAGAACCCTTTTTTCTGACTAGGAATAACATGATATATATAGCCCCAGGTGTTGAGTCCTAACCGTGAGTTAGGTTCTTAATCTTACGGCTCCTGAATTTTGCTCCCTTTTTTGTCAATTTTCTAACTCAGCAAATACTCTTCTTTTGTCTGCTTCTCAGGTAAAATTTGATGCTCAGCATGTGAGGTTGAGCTGGCTTGGGCATTTGGAGCTAAAGCCGCGTGAAAGGACCAAGGACAAAGGGGCGACAGGGGTAATCTTTTCTCTCTCTTCTTGAAACCGATCTACATTGGCCTTGTCTTATTTGATGACTTGGAATTTCTGTTGCTTCTGATTGGTTGACAGTCTGTTATGAGCATGTGAACTTGTGACTTGAAATTCATTTGCCATAGTCTAATGTTTTGAGGTTCAATTTATGCTTTACATGGCTGCATTTGTTATTCACTTGAGATTCTGCGAACTGTTCTAAGCTCCATATAATTACCAATTCATTAAATTTGCCACTGAATTTCCCCTTATGCTGAGCTGATTCTCCAGATATTTTGCTGAAATTGTTTCTCTGGTTCCATGAAACTGTCTTCTGACTCCAATTCGCCTTTGCCTCCTTACATTTCTGTATACTACCATCATTGGTTCAATTTGCTAGTTTGCTATTTCTCATTTGTATTGCATGCCCTTATTGCTATTAGCTCCTTGTAATGCCCACTAAACTCTCTTAATTGCAACAGCATGCTCTCAACTACTTATTCTGCCTTTTCTGTATGAAATGCTCAACATGGAAATGAATTGCTGTGATGATTCTGCAGTCCCATGTCATCTATGATCTCGAAACTATTTTGCGACTAGATTTACCATGCTTTCTAATCAAACTTTGCTTGACTCGGCTTTGGTAAAATTCCGCTGCAATTTGCCTACTTATCTGTTTTGTGCTTGTAACTTAGCCTGAATTGGTGACCATGTGCCTTCTTGTTTATGCTTATGGAAATGTCCCTTATTATACTATTATATGTAGCAAAAGCTTGCTGACCCCTTTGTGATTGATTTGTAATCGAAGTGTGCTAGCTTGATGACTGTGAACACATTGTCTCTGCGTTTGATCCTGCTTGCTACACAATATAGTTGTTTGCCATTGAAATGTCTCAAAAGCTTCATTTATTCAATAACTTTGCTCATTTGTACACTTTCTTCCTTCCATATGTTTCTCTGAAATTCCTTGCTTCCCTTTTATGCTTTAAGCGAATTTGTGTGATGCCTGGGTCTTAATTCTCTGCTGGAACTCATGTATTCATTGTTCCCATGCCTTTCTGAATTTGATCTTATTGACTGCAAGGTGAACTCTAAAGTACAAACATGCTATGCTGCTAACTATATGCTAACTATGAAAAATGACTGATGAATGTTGCTGTATTTTTATCATTTTCGGAATACAAATGGAATGAAAATGCTGGTGAATGCATGAATGCTAGGGATTTTGACAATATATACTAACTACTACTGCCATGAGACCCTTTTAAAATGCAATGATGATCGATGCGAGTTGCAAGTTGTGATGCATGTGAGAAAAAAAATGATATTGAATCCCTGCTTTAATGACCATGATTTGAATTAATTTTGATGCCACATTTATCTCTGTTTCTGTCTTGCTTAGTCCAATGTTTGACCACATCATTTTTGGTCATTGCTAGATGAACTTTGCTCTTTCCCTCTTTCGGCTTTGTCATTGTACTTCCCTTTTTGTCATTGTACTTGCCTCTAACTCGTATGGTGCTAGCTTCTGAATTGTTGATCAACTTCCTGCATTGGTGACCTGGTGCCGCTGTTGTGTATGTGTCACTCCCTACACTTGCGCAATCTCCCCTTTTTAATCTTTATTGCTCTGTGATTACTTTGAAATGTTGTTCATTTAGCTTACCATGTGCACCTCATTTCCCTTATTTGCATGTGTTTATTTTCCCCTTTTAGCTTGGATAACATTCCTGCATATTTGCCCCCAAGCTTGACTTGGAAGGTTACCGCCTCATCATCTTCATGGCTGTCTTGAATTAACTAAGGTGGTCTTGTTTCTATGGAAAGAGGAAGGAAGCAAGGAAAGGAGAACCCCTGAAAAGAATGCTACTGAGTACTGTGTGATTAAATTTTTTTTCCTTTTGTAACTGATAGACCTAATGCAATTGTCAAGACATTTTTCGAATCATGAATGCATGAAGATTTCCTTTTTATTACATAGCCATATGATATGCTAGAGTAAAACAAAAATGAAGTAATTAACTAACAGACTACGTAAATGCAATGTGATGATTTGATCTAGTCGAATTGAAATAATGGAATATATATGAAAATGCAAAGCAATAAACAAATGTAAATGATTCTTTTTGTATTTTTTCAATCTTGTAAATAAATAAATGGGATAAAAGGGAAATGGGCTTTAACTAAAAGGGAAATGGGCTTTAACTAATTATGATCCAAGACAAGATTCATAAAAGCAAAAGAAAGACCCTTAAAGTAAATGGGCTAATTTTAAAGAAATGAGAGCCCAAATGAGCTAATCCAAAATACAACTTCTTCTCTTTTTTATATATATATTTTTTATTTATGAAAATAAAATATGTAAACATGAAAGATGACATGTAAGCAATTAAACATATATAAAAATTTCTCTCTCCTTTTTTTTAATTTTCCAATTTCCATTTCTTTTATATTATTTGAATGCAATCAAATTAAAAGTAAATGATAACTAATGAAATAAATTCTAGTATTATAGTATTAAATGGTCAAAATGCCTAAATGACCTATATGCCCCCTTCGGGTTTGATTGAACAAGAATGCCGTGTCGTCCAGCTTCGCAAATAATAAAATGCAAAAATTGAAGCAAATAACCTATATCAAAGGATATATAACCAAAAAAATGGGTGTCTACAATATGTCGGCAACAATACACCGGATCCAATGAGATGTGCTTATATATATTTATTATGCAAAGACTGATGGGTGCGATCATACCTGCACTAATGCACCGGATCCCAAAAGAACTCCGCTGTTAAGCGTGCTTCGGCGAGAGTAATACTTGGATGAGTGACCTCCTAAGAAGTCCTCGTTTTGCTCCCCCTTTTTTTTCTTCTTTCGAAATTTCTTATGGTAGAAAATCGGTTCAAGTAAGCATTAAGTCTTAGTATGGCTGCGAATGAACATCATGTTCGATGAATGGCTCGTGAGCAAGCTCGATTAAAACTCGTTTATGTTCGCTTGGTTGCGTTTGCAATGAGAAATATTGTTTTCTTCTTCTTTCGAAATTTTTTTGGGTAGCTATCGGTTCAAGTACGTATTAAGTCTTAGTACGTATGGCGTGTACGATCATATGTCGGCAACAATGCACCGGATCCAATGAGATGTGCTTCTATATATTTATTATGCAAAGACTGATGGGTGCGATCATACCAGCACTAATGCACTGGATCCCATCAGAACTCCGCAGTGAAGCGTGCTTGGGCGAGAGTAGGATGGGTGACCTCCTGGGAAGTCCTCATGTTGCACCCCTTTTTTATTTTCTTTTTTTTTTGAAATTTTTTATATTTATTTTTTTTATTTTCTTTTCTTTCGAAATTTCTTATGGTATACAAGCGGTTCAACTAAGCATTAAGTCTTAGTATGGCTACGAATGAATAACATGTTCGATGAACGGCTCGTGAGCAATCTTGATTAAAGCTCGTTTATGTTCGCTTGGTTGGGTTAGCAATGTGAAATATTGTTTTCATCTTCTTTCGAAATTTTTTTGGATATGTATTGGTTCAAGTACGTATTAAGTCTTAGTACGTATGGTGTGTACAATCATATGTCGGCAACAATGCATCGGATCCTGAGATGTGCTTATATATATTTATTATGCAAAGACTGATGGGTTCGATCATACCAGCACTAATGCACCGGATCCGATCAGATTTCCACAGTTAAGCACGCTTGGGCGAGAGTAGTACTAGGATGGGTGACCTACTGGGAAGACCTCGTGTTGCACCCCTTTTTTATTTTTTTTTATTTTCTTCTTTCAAAATTTCTTATGGTAGACAATCGGTTCAAGTAAGCATTAAGTCTTAGTATGGCTGCGAATGAACAGCATGTTCGATGAACGGCTCGTGAGCAAGTTCGATTAAAGCTCGTTTATGTTAGCTTGGTTGGGTTTGCAATGAGAAATATTGTTTTCTTCTTCTTTCGAAATTTTTTTGGGTAGATATCGGTTCAAGTACGTATTAGTCTTAGTACGTATGGCGTGTACGATCATATATCGGTAACAATGCACCGGATCCAATGAGATGTGCTTGTATATATTTATTATGCAAAGACTGATGGGTGCAATCATACCAGCCCTAATGCACCGGATCCCATCAGAACTCCGTACTTAAGCATGCTCTTGGAGTTGGCTATCATCAAAAGTGTCATTATTCTAACTACTTTTGCAAATGGTTGTTAAAGTTTGTCAAATGAAGATGATGCTTGTTAATTGGGTACAAAAATTTAGTTTTTTCTACTTCTAAAACTAGTGTTGAATCTCTTCGAGACTAATTTGGATTATGGTATGATTGGTTTGGAATGTATATGCATTTTGTATGGGGATGACTAAGGTGTTTGTTTGGACCGTTAGTGCCTTAGGATGCCTACCCTTTTGTTGCCTTATTGAATATATTTAGCCTTTTTCTTTGTTTAACCACATTATCCCAAAGAACCTTGAGCACGAAAACAAGTTTTACCCTTATTCATGAATTGGTAAGAGCATAACTTGTAGATTATTTGTTCTAATGGATGGTGGAAGGCTAAAATTCATAAGCCTTATTGTCGATTTCGATTCTTAGTGCTTAATGATTTTTGGCTATAGATTGATGAAGAAAGATTAAGATCAAGATAAGTGTGGGGGAAACTAGTGAATTATGAGATGGTGGATAGTGAAGTGCCTAAATAATTGTTGAAAGTGAGTTGTTTCCAAATAAAAGGGGAGAAGAGATGTCTAAAACATTGTCCCTCTGGAAAATGAAAAAAAAAAGAGAGAGAAAGAAAGAAGGTAAAAAATGGAACACTCCAAAAGAAATTGGCACTATTTTCTTCAAAGAAGAAAAGGAATTTTATTGAAATGGTGGTGTTGTGATGAAGGAAGAGCTATCACAAATTAAATAAGCTCTTTGATTATTTGATGGATTATTTGTGCTTTATTTTGATTATTTTTGAGTCCATCTTAGTTATGCTCTACTAAATTCTTGAATACTTTGATTTTCCTTATCCTTTCTTTCTTAACACACTGTCTCTTGGCCCCATTACAACCATGATAAAGACCTTTCAACTCATACACATGCATATATATTGGGTTTGTGGTTTGATATGGTTGTAGTGGAGATGTACATGAGATACAAGCCTATGGTAAGTAGCTCTTAAAAAATTTGTTTTCTTATTGCTCTTTTGAGGCAGATGATTTCGATGATGAACTAACCATTTGTGCTTTACTTTTGTTAGATATTGACTTGTTTTGAAGAGTATCCAACCCTTTGAAGTTTACAGCCTACTTACTTTAAATCACTTTTTGGGAATTATTTTCTTAAAATTGTTTTTGAAACTCACTTTCATATGTAGCAATGTTTGTGGGTATCGTTCTGGTAAGCTCTCAGGAGACTATAACTCCTCCACTATGGTCACATAGGGGTTTAAAGGCTTGCGTCACGAAAGTGGAATCAATATCATGTTTTAGGTTTAGTTTTAGTTTAGTTTGTTATGGGACTAGCAAAAGCTAAGTGTGGGGGAATTTGATAAGTCCATATTTTACATGATTATTGGTGTTATTTTTGGTGCTTTTATTAGTTATTTTTATTATTTGATACTTAATTTCCTTTGATTTTCTTTCTTAGGCTTCATTGGAGATTTTGTGAAGAAAAGGACCAAATGGAACAATTTACAAGAAGAAAGGACAAAAAGATTATTTTGCCGAAGTCAAGATGTATTTGAAGGCGAAAGAAATCTTCTGGACTAGCCCAGGCTTGGGGTGGTCAGGGTACCCCATGCACGGGTAGCCCCTCAACTCTCTGCACCAGCCCACGCATGGGGTGGGCAAGGATACCCCATGCGTGGGTAGGACCTGACATAGTGAATTTTAGCCTATTTTTCCTATTTTAATGGGCTTTCATATTTTCTTCACCAAGGATTAAGCTTAGAATGATTTTTGGCTAAATCAAGTAAGACTTTACTTATTCCTAGTTCCATTGGGATTTATTAATAAATTTGCAATTTCTATTTTATTTTCCCACTTCTTTTAGGTTTAGAATTTAGCCCCTATATAAAGGGAGAGCTCTTGTATTTTATGATCAACTATTCTACTTTGGATTTTTGGGGGCTCTCTTCAAGATTTCTTCAAGGGGTTTTTCTTCATTTTATGTTCTTGAATTCTTTGATTTTTAATAATAATTCTTGTGTTTTATTCATGATGATGAGTAGCTAATTTCTTAATTAGGGTTTAGGGTGTAGCCAATTGGGGATTATTGTTTAATTTATATTTTGAAGTTTTCTTCTCTTAAGTTGGATTTATTTTCTTTGTTCTTCATGAGATCAACATATAGATTATTTTAGGTTTTGTGTGATGTAGTGACAGGAGAAGCATAATCTGGGCACTAGGAAAATAGACAAATTAGGCTAGATCAGACATGAATCTAAGGCTAATTTGATAGGTGAATGATTATTTGATAGGTAATTAAGTGTAATTCTATTCTAACTTTGCGTCAATTCAACTCATAGGTTAGGTAATAATTTCCCAATTAGGTGAAACCTGAAGCCCTAAGCTTTCCAGTTATTGTCTTCACATCTTATTTAATTTTCCGCTTTTATAATTTAATTGCTTTTAATTTTAAATTGTCTTGATAATCTCTCAAAATTTCCTTCTTTGATAGAATTAATTTCAATAGGGATTAATTGTTCTCTGTGGGTTCGACACCTGGATTATTCTATGATTATTACTTCAACTGACTCTGTGCACTTGCAAATTTAGTTCACCATGTAGACACCCATTTTCAAATATCCTTAAAAATTCACCAGGGGCATTTTGGTCATTTTTGCTCAGGGGCATTTTTGGTCATTTTCGCCTCAAGGGCATTTTGGTCATTTTTCGCCTCAGGGGCATTTTGGACAAAATTAATGTTCAATATGTTTCATTCTCGTCTTTGGTAGGTTGCGTTATAGTACGTCCCTGTTTTGCACTTTTTTTCTTTCTTTTTGTTTGGTTTTGTTTTTTGTTTTTATTTTGTTTAGCATAACATATCAAGGGTTATAGGATCGCATTCATCAGATCAAAGTCTTTTAGGATATCATTATAGGTTTATGTCTCTCCATTTTTGACACTCGCATCAGTATACCATTATTACACTAAATAATTGGCCCAAACTTTTCTTTGATTGGATTACTAATTCTGAAATGATCCTACTCTTTGGGCTTAACATTTTAAAATTGGGCTTTTATTGTACAGTTTGCATTCGGGCTTATGTTTACAAAGGGCAAAAATAAAATGACCATAATATTCAAGGCGGTATTTTGCACGATAGTTTCTATTATTGCATTTAGAAAGCTAATTAACAATACAGAATAAAAGGACCATAAAATTCAAGGTGGTTTTTTTTTATAGTTTCTATTATTGCATTATTACAAAAAAGGAAAAGAAGCCATATACATTGTTCTTTTTACAAAAAATATACATATATATAAAAATAAATAAATAATAATAATAAAAAAACCTTATACATTGTTTGTTTTTTTTTTTACAATAAATCACGGAAATAATTTTCACTCTTGGCATTGCAAATCCGAAAGGATTACAAGGCTACAAAATAGTTAGCCTACATGATCTGTTGGCATTCCATACCCCCCTCTCCCACGTCTTTATTCCTTTTTAAGCTTGCCAAAGCCATTCCAATGCAATGTTGAAAAACCTGCAAAGGAGAACAGGATACAAGGGGCAGAAACAAAATGTATTCCCCAGGCTTAGGGTGATACACTATTAATTAGTGCACACCTTGGTCTCTTATGGCCACAAGATAAAATTAAAGATGAACATGCAGAAAGGCTCAGCAAAGCACAGCGTATCCCAGCGTCGAGGTCTTTTAGAAGACCTCATTATGCTGAGCTATACGCTCGAAAGGAGAAGATAATGGCAACCATAAAACAGCAAAGCATATCATGACACAATATAGCAGCAAACATGGCAAGAAAACACTCAAAGAAAAGGCCGAGACAGAAAGAGTAAGGCCTGGGGAAGGTTGGTATGTGCATTGGCATAGGATCTGAGAAACGAGATGGAAACCCGAGTCTCAAAAGTTCCAGCCATGCAAAGAGAGCAACAGTGACAGGAAAAAGCAGCAAACAGTTATTAAATAAAATGCAGAAGTCAAAGCAACAACAAAACACAATGAACAAGGAATGGCCTAATGCAAAATACAGGAGAGGCTTCACTACAGCAGGCCAGACACCACATATCCTGACAGTAGTGGCATTCAGTATCCCGCAAACGTTGAAGCATAATCATAATCATTACAGTAGGTACTCGAGAGGCCAAGACAGTGACCAACATAGTAATGAGGTGAAATAAGGACTGGGACAAGTGCATACATAGTATTTCACATAGACATCATTAATTTGCCGCAGCTGCATTCTAGTGTCAATTACGCAGGTTTAACAGAAAAGCATTTAGTACTCTGCAAACAACACCATCAACACGCATTACATCAGTGGCATCTAGGTCACTTCCATTTATGATTAGGATAGCCAATTGCATCAGGAAATAGTTATAAAAAACAAAACAGGATCAAGCACCTCCATCTTTCAGCATCCTAGCGGTCACTACACAATGGCATGGTGCACGCATAGGCACAGGCAGAAATAAAAGACCAACAGCATTCCAAGTTTGACACATGATAATATAGGTCTTATAACATGCGTAGGTCCATACATTCATAAATTTATTCAAATGCACATAGCAGCAATCATTAGGCAGCATTT